TCTGGACACGCTCCAGGGCCTCAATGTCTTTTTTGTAGTGAGGGGCCCAAAACTGAACACAGTACTCGAGTTGCGGCCTCACCAGAGCTGAGTACAGGGGGATGATCACCTCCCTGCTCCTGCTGGCCACACTATTTCTAATGCAGACCAGGATGCCTTTGGCCACCTGGGCAAACTGCTGGCTCATGTTCAGCCGAGCATCAACCAACACCCCCAGGTCCCTTTCCTCTTCACAGTCATCCAGCCACTCGTCCCCAAGCCTATAACACTGCATGGGGTTGTTGTGGCAGGACCCAGCACTTGGCCTTGTTGAACCTCATCCCATTCACCCCAGCCCAGCAATCCAGCTTATCTAAATCCTTCTGAAGGGCCTCCCTACCCTCAGGCAGATCCACACCATCTCCCAAGTTGGTGTCATCTGCAAACTTGCTGACGGTACACTCTATCCCCTCATCTAGGTCATCATAAAGATATTAAACAAGATGGGCCCCAGTACCGACCCCTGGGGGACACCACTTGAAACAGATCACTAGCTGGACTTCACTCCATTAACCACTACTCGTTGGGCACAGCCCTCTAGCCAGTTTCTTACCCAGCAGAGTGTGTACCTTTCCAGGCCACGGGCAGCCAGTTTCCCCAGAAGAAGCCTGTGAGAGACCGTGTCAAAGGCTTTGCTGGAGTCTAGGTAGACTACATCAACAGGTAGACTAGGTAGACTACATCAGCACTAGGACTGTTGACTACTAGCACTGTTGACTACATCAACAACTAGGTAGACTACATCAACAGCCCTTCCTTTATCTACCAGTCTGGTCACCCAGTCATAGAAGGAGATGAGGTTGGTCAAGCATGACCTTCCTTTCATGAACCCATGCTGGCTGGGCCTGATCCCCTGGACACCACGCACGTGTCGTGTGATCTCACCCAAGATGATTTGCTCCATTACTTTCCCCAGTACCAAGGTCAGGCTAACAGGCCTATAGTTCTCCGGATTCTCCTTAATGCATTTCTTGAAGATGGGAGTCACATCAGCAAGCCTCCAATATGCTTCCTAACCAATAATATTTTGAAATAACAGAGGGAAAAATATCAATAATAATAATATTTTACCTTCCCTCTTCTGTTATGAATCTGACTTTTAGATGAAAGATTTGAAGAGGAAGCAGCAGAAGGTAAAAGACCAATGAATGTATTTCAGTGACAGGGAAAAAGGAAACAGAAATGCTCAGGTAACCTTTGAAATATCTAGACAAATTTTAAGAGTAAAGCATGTGTGAAGAGCATTGACTAGAAGTAGACAAAGATGGTGAATTAATGGTGAATTCAGTCCCTACAGAGAAAATAAATAGTGATAGGGATAGAGATCTTCATCTGTTCATTCTGCCCTCAAATCTGTGAAAATGGCACATGGTGCTGGGCAGGACCTGCTGTTTTTGCAGGAAGATGATATTTTAAGCAAGCCCTATATTTTTACTCCTCCCTACATACATCTTTATTTATAATGGGATTTTTGTCTCGTTTTGTTGTTTTGTTTTATTTCTCTTTGTTTCTGCACTTTGTTCTTTCCCATATTGAACTTTTGGTAGAGTCCAATCATTCCCTATGGAGACTCATTTTCAGCAAACACTTCCATT